ACACATCTGGATATTTGGGTTAAACTGTTCTGGAACAGTGTTGTAAATACAACTTAACCACTGATTTGTAGTCGTGTCTTCTTTTGGAAGACCAAACAAAGTAGTTTTGCTTTCACAACGAAAAACACAACGGCCTAGCAGAAGCCCGGGCTTAGCGTGAGCTGACGCCAGGCTAGAGTGAGCTGAGGCGGCAGGGTTGAGAATGGCGCAGCCGGCGGATCCGACGAAGGAGCGGCAAGAACGCGAGGCGTAAAAGCCTAATTAAAAAAAAAAAAAAACGCCTCGGGCTAATTTTTTTTAGTTTGATGCGCCGCGTTAAAAACTGGCCGACCAATGAGATTGCCGCTTTTTTCACGTGCCTGGAGCTGCTGAAGTTACAATAAAACGCGACTTGGTGGCGCTCAAGCACAAAACGGTCTTGCTGAGCACACATTACAATAAAACGTGACTTGGTGGCGCTCAAGCACAAAACGGTCTTGCCGAGCACACATTGATAAAGAGGAAGTAAGTAGACCAAGAAGATGCATCGAGGCAAGATGAATGTAGAGCTGCTGGTCTCATTGGTGTCTGAACACAAAGGGCTTTATGACAAACGCGACAGCGACTACACAAATCTCGTTAAGAGGGAGTTGTTATGGAGAGGAATTGCAGATCAAATAGGATTCGATGTGTATTTCTGTTTTTCATTAAGCGCCATCTAATGTCAGGGAGTGAATTTGCACGTTCAAGCCCTGTTCACACCGCAAGCGACTTTTTCGCTGCTTGTCGCTTGTGGCTGGCAATTGAGATTGCTAGTGGGCGTTCCCACTACTGGTTGCCTAGTTACCCCCGTAACACTCCACTACAGCAGATGAATCACGTGCTCTCCACTGACTTCACTCCCATTGGTTGTCGCTCGTGAAATTCGCTGCTTATTTGCATAGTTGAAGAATTCTGAACTTTTGTCGCTTGACTCGCATCGCTTGACACGCCCACATTCCGTCGCCAACGGTCACTGTCGCCCGTGTCGCCGGAAGTCGCCAGCTGTCCATTGAAAATGAATGGGATTATGTCGCTCTGTCACTGTGTGTCGCTGGCGGTGTGAACGGGGCTTCACTCGGCTCATCGCCTGCGAAAATCGCTTGGGTATGAACCAAGCGGCAACCTCCCCGCTCTCTCTCGTGAAGCTAACAAGTGACTTAAACTGTAATCCATCAACTGGCCGCTAGAGGCTGGCTGCAAAAGTGAGTCAATCCCATAGACTTCCCCGTGTTAAAATGCCCAACTTTACAGCAGAAAAAAAACGTTTACAGCCTGGTTCAAAAAATTATTTTGGTCTATATAGCTAATTTTGCCCTTCATGACAACTGTGAGGGGGGTGAATTTTTTTATAAATCATCTGTTTAAATTATATTAAGCCTTACATTTCTGCATAATTAAGGGCATGGCCACTTGAGTGACAGGTGGATTGCCACTGCTGTCACCACCGTCGAGCTAGGTGGGCGTGGTTTTCAGGTATACGGGAGTGACGCGCTGCCAAGATGGTGATGGCCAGCTCCGCCCACTTTGAGCTTCAAAAACGCTCTTCGGAAATCTACGGGCGACATCACGGACACTACGTCCATGTTTTTATACACTCTATGGTTTAACCACAGCTCATTCATTTACGTGTAATCCTGTAGTAAATCTGCACTCGCGGTTTATTTCGTTGTATGCAGTACAATTTGTTGGGTATTAAAATGTAAGAATGTGACAAGACAGGTTTTCTGCATATTAGGCATAAGACTGAATAAGTGCAAATTTTACAAATTTTAATCATTTAAATATTTTAAATTGAGTACAGTAATATCTAAAGTTTTACCTATTACTAGATGAACAAATGGGGGATTGTTTTTTTTTTTATGTCTAAGACATGATTAGTGCATTGTGCTAGTGTACTACTTAACACTGACAAAATTCACTTTTTTAACAAAATGTATCACAAAAATGTAGCCTGTATCCTGTACTACAGTAGATATCATACCAGTCCAGTGCCCAAATCTGTTTAAAGAGGGCACCAGAGATGGGCAGTATTTTAATTAAATGTATTTAAAATACGTATTTAATTACTTTTGAATATTTTGTCATT